CTGGCCCCGCAAGCGCGCCTTCATCTCCTTTGTAACAAAAAGTCAGTAAGGGTAGTTAAAGTCGTGCACCTAATAAACACTAACCCTCAGCCATCTTTCATACGGGTTTTGGGGGTGGAGGAAATAGGATAGACAGTGAAGGAAATTTGAAGAAGCAAATGGAAAAATTTTGTTGAATTTGTTTCCCGCGGTTGTTCCGTATGTAGAGCGAAGGTGTGCGCGGCCCTTTGCACCGCAGCCTATACTAATCCAACTCCAGAACGGTTAGTTGAACCTCAAGTAAGTTGAAGTAGACGACCTCCAAACCACAATTTGTATCTTTTCGTGAATTTAAAGAAACCTGCATTCTGATAATCGGATTGTTCCGCAACACTTTAAACGATGATACGGATTAGGAAAATCTACAGATATAAACCAAAAACATTTCTAAATACAAGAAAATAAGAATGCGTGGAGCAGTCATTAAGTTCTACATTCTCCACTGCCTATCCTATTTCCCCATCCCCAAAACCGATTCCCTACGACAAAATGTTGGGACTGGGGATGCACTACTTAAACTACGGTTGTCCAAAAATCTCCGGCTGCTCGAATATTCCCTTCCTCTAATAATTCAAACAACCTCAGCCACCCGAATGACCACCAGAACTATTGTGTCATTTTCACCCATAGACACCGTAAATATAAAGGATCGCGGTTTAGTTTCCGTCGGATGCTGTACAAGGTCTATATACTTGTCCGACTTTGATGAAGTAGCTGTTGTCTCTGCAGCACTACGTCCATTGTGGCTAACTGTCGATGTTCCGGCAGATGACAGAGTGTTTCTCTTGCTTGTGGCCCAGATGAGCCTCTTGTCACTTTCAATACGTTTTTGTTGTGTTAAGACGGTGTTAGAACCATGTGACCTCGTTAACAAAAAACCACATTATCCTCGAAGGAAGAAATCAAGACTATGAGAATCTGGGAACGAGGAAGAGGTATTGACAAAGAAGTACGACGGATGTCATCTACAGAATGCGGACTCACCGACATAATTGGCGCCCACTTCCGCGGCGACCTCCTCTTCACCCTGAAACCGGGCAATTTCCCGCAGGAGCTTGATCTCTATCTGAGCCTGTTGGATGAAAGAGCGCTTGTTCTTTATCACTTTGATAGCCACCTCCTCGCCCGTAAGCAAGTCCATGGCTCGGACAACCTGGACAGACAGACAGAGAGGAATACAAAGCACAGGTAGCGAGAGACCACTGTTTGTACAAAAAGAAGAGAGACAGAGACGGAAAGAAGGGGGGACACATACCATGCAACCGCAAGGCAGCAGTAGAAACTGTTGGTTATACACTTGGGTTTTCGCGTG